ATTAAACTGATATGTTCTTAAAATATTGATTGTATAAATTCTCAAAAAAATATTCAAACAAAACTGAATATTTATATAACAACAGTAATGTTCAGTAATTTTCTGCATTTAAAACATGCAGAAAATATCATCAGGTGATGTTTCATTAACTTCCACAATTAAATTACTTTAAGAAGTACCAAACTTGCAGACTTGAGAACAGCATTAGGTAATTCAAATATTCTTCCCCAACCAGGACAAACATTGCATTAGATATTATTCATAAGCTCTTGTGATATTCTATCAAAAAGAATGTTTCCAATCAGAAAAGAGGTGGTCAAAAATGATGAGCATCGTCACAGTGGATACAACTGAAACAATCCGTTTGTAAATCAAGCATTTGTTTATATAAAGATTCTGTTACTCGAAAACACAGCCACAAAGATAAGAATTTAAATAGAAGTATTAAACCAAAAGAAATTCTTTCTAGCAACATACATTGATATCCTTACTTTACAATTGCTTCCTTTACAACTCCCACATCTATGGTATGAATATATTAAATATAACATTTTATGAAATCAATAAATACTGTATTTTTACAAACAAGAATTACAATAATTTCTCAGATTCTTACTTTATAATATTGTGTAAAATTCCACAAGTATAGAGTGTTATATAAGAGTTAGAGATGATTGTATTCTTAAAAAGATTTAATAGAGATGTAATTATAATTTGTTTTTCATAACTTTTCAATGCATAAAGTGTAAAAGTCTCCATTTTTTGGCCATTTCAGAAGCCAAAATAAAAAGTGAAAAAAATTGTATTTATCTAAAAAGTTGAATATAATTAAAATTCATGTTTAGTCAGACAAAGAGAATCATGCTAGAAAGTGAAATTATGACTTTTTTTAAACAAAAAAAAACACAGTCTGAGTGAAATAAAATGATTACAGATGAAATAAATTTGAATAAAATTATCACATTATAAATCAGGAAGGTAAAGAAAGTCCCAAATTTTATAATTCAATAGCATATTAACAAAATCTTTAGATTCATACATGTAAAACTATAAATCAAATAATTGATATAATTGTTTTTAATAAATTTAATTCTAAAAATGAATATTTTACAAACAAGTTTAAATTAGAAGTTTTAAATAAATATGCATTTACAGTTAATAAATAACATAAACAATAGGGTCTTCCTATACACAATAAATTCCAAGATTCCTCATGTAAAATAGCAAATTCCATTAATTATTACTTTCTAAACTAACATAACTATCACACATTTTCATAAATCATACCATAATCAGCAATATTATAAATCATAAAAACAATTTTAAAAAATTTTGGGAAGCTGATTTTTTTCTTCTTTTCTCACTAAATCTAAACTTAATTTTTCTCTTCTAAAGTAGCCACTTTATGGCCTTTTTATTTACTTATCAGAGCTATCAACATCACTATTCTTGCATTTTGTAGCCTCTTTTGCAAAGTTATTAGCATAAATGAAACTAAGAGAAGCACTGATATCACACGGACACGTGTTACAAGCGAGAACATCACACAATGACTGATGTGATCCTAGTGTTTATTGAAAAACAAAGAAATGCATTACAGTAATACTTCCAGAATGAGTAACACTAACAGTCAAAGAATGAGCGAGATGCTGTGAAATGAGATGAATCTTAAAAATGGTTTGGATTTAGTGAACAATTAAGAATTTTTATTTTTCATCTATTTTTCCAGCCTGCCAACAGTTAAATCTGAAATCATGTATGGTGAGTCCACATATGGTGGGATCATACCATATATTAAACTGTAATAAATAAAATAGTAAGAAATATGAGGAGATTAACTTTTTAAAATTTTTGAGTTGAATGACTTCTTTCTTATAAGCTGTATACTGGTTAAAGATTATTTTAATATTATAATTTTGTTATTTTGGTAAATTATTTTTGTTTTAAATTTAATTAAGTATTTTCACAAAGACAGATTAATTTCTGTCAATTAAATCAAACAGAATTTGATTCAATATTATTAACTTAAAAACATTGTTTATTGTAAAAAGAACTTGATATATATTCTTAAATTTGTAAAAATAACAGAATAACAAACTATAAACTTATTTATTTTCTCAATAGAACAAGACTAATAATTCAAAATTTTTTATTTATTTATTTATTTATTTTTAAACTGTAAATCTGTTCATTAATTTTAAATTAAAGAATTTTGTTTTAAGGTTAATTTTTAGTAATAATAGGTTCATTTTATCTGCACAGAATTAAATATTTTACCCATACATCATTTGTTAATATTTAAAAGAATCAGAATAAAAGAATTCACACTCAAATTATTGGACTGCATAGTTTAGGTGATACAGAACATCTTTTGTCTTATAAAGTATAAAACTGGTCCATTATTGCTTGTCTTGAACAAAGTGAAATATAATTATTTGCTTTTTGTCTTATATTTTAATTAATTTTCTTAACAGCTATTTTTAATTTGCTATAAATAACAATGCATAGATATTTGCATGTCAGAAAAACTAGGAGGAGAATACCGATTGTGTTTAAAATTTAATGTCAAATATAAATTGGAAAAGACAAGAATACTCGAAATATAATCAACTGAGGAAGGGTAATAATCGGCCTGAAATGTACATATTGGTTTAATAAAATTTCAGTGAACTTTTCAATTGAAAACTGTGGTCTGATAAGTCCTTAAAATTTATAGCAAATTAAAAATAGCTATTAAGATTATTGTGTATAAATATAAAGTGTCAAAGTGAAGTATATAAAGTGAATATAAAGTGAATGTCAATGTGAATAAGTGTTTGACAGTATATAAAGATTCCTTACACAGACAGTATGACAGTCATAGTGTAAAATATATATATATATATATAATTATATTTAGTACTTTATAAGAATTCATTATAACATGAGTTTTAGCCATATTAGGCAATCAAATAAAAAGCTAAC